CAAATTTCCTTAATCTCAAAATTTTCAAATTCTAAAACTAAAAATCGGCCCCCAAACCCTAAGTAATGGTAAGTAATAAACCTACCCAGGGGAGCAAGCTGATGGGGAAGCTGCAGAGCCGGAAAGAACGCCCTTCCCAGCCGGCATCTGGACTGGCCTTTGGGTTTAGGGTTTAGGGTTTAGGGTTCGGGGTTTAGGGTTAGGTTAGGTTTCATAAGGACCCTATATGAGCCGTAGTCTAAACTCCTTCAAGGGGGGATTACATAAGGGATTATATAGGGGATTACTGTAGGAGTTATTCAGGGGGATACTAGAAGTTTAGACTATGGTTCATAATCATTCAAACCCTAAACCCGAAACCTAACAAAGGCATCTACATCCTGCTTCGGCCTGCCTTTGTGTCGCCTGCGGCCGACATCTTTGCCCCCGATGATGACGAGCTGGTTGCGGAGCTAGACGAGGGTGAGGCTGGACGTACTCATAAATCCCAAGCCCTAAACCCTAACCCCTAAACCCTAAACCCCAAACCCTAAACTCAAAACAGTAATGCTGAATTGCGCTGTAGTCTCCTACAGTGGTACTAGTGGGATGGGAAGAGGAATAGCAAAAGGAATAGGATTACTAGAAAAGGATGTAGTAACTAGGGGCATACCTCCTGCCCTAAGGGTCCAAGGACCCAAATAATAGGGTTTTAGAGCCCATCTTTTTTTAAAAAAAATATTTGGGCCCTAAAACCCTATTATTTGGGTCCTCCCTTGGACCCTTAGGGCGGTGTAGAACGGGTCTAGGGTTTAGAGTTTCAGGGTAGGCTCTGGTTGTTGAGGAGATTGAGGTTGTGGAGGTCGTGGACTTCACAGAGGAGGAGCGGCTGTGGCTGCCTCAGCTGAGCCTAGGGACAGCTAGATAATCGAATCAATTGATAGATTACCCTAAGAGTCCAAGTACCCAATAATCATATACTTACCCCACACCTGTACTACAATTACTTTTACCAAAGCCCTAAGTACCCAAATATTGGGCACATGCATCCTTAGGATTAGACATGTGTGCCTGTCGACCCTTGCACTTAGTCTCTAGATACGTCGTTGCTGGCGTGAGTGGGCATGGCAATGTGCTAGCTCTGTACCTGTTGCAGTCTTGTCCTTAGCTACTATTATTAAATGAATATTCTTGTTATTGTTATTATTTCTACTGTTAGTATTAATGCTGGCTCTAAGCTCCTTGCAAAGCAGGTATGTCTGTAAAGAGCATGCTCGGAGATAAAATCCATATATCCTCCCTCCATTGGAGTTGCTAGCCTAGTTAGGTCCCTACATTCTCCTCAAGCTGCTGCCCAGAAGACCCTTGGGTTAGGCTGTAGGGTTTAGGGTTCAATGTTTCTTGTTTAGGATCTGGGATGGAGCTCCTGACTTGAAGGTTCGCAAAAGTATCCCTAATAGAACCCCTAGTAGGGACCTCCAGACTCCCTAAACCCGAAGCCGAATCCTGTGGGGTCTTTAAGGGCGGCCTCCTAAGCCCTAAACCTTAAACCCTCAAACCTACACCCTAAGCCCTA